ATTTGGTGGAGTAATTGGTAATAAAATCAATTATAGTTAGTGTTATTAATGATTAATTTTTTTCTACTGTGATTGTCTTTAAACCTCTTTAATACAGCTTGTGATCTTACTTGCTAAGTTATTATGCATCAAAAAAAAGAACAAGAATATATGCCTATAATAGTTTTGAGTTTTTGTCATGATTTAGAAGGTGATGTGGAAAAATATTTAATGATACTTAATGGCAGCTTTTTTTAATATATAAAATAATGAATTCATCCCCAGCCTTCTTCCCTCCAAAACAGCCTCATTTGTAAACCCATTATAGTTTAACCAGTAGGAGATTTTGTTTATTACAATAAAACAATAATTAGAAATACATTTTGGGCATACTCTGTTCATATGTAAAAAGTACCAAACTATAGTTTGAATATAGGCTGATTTTGAGCTTTTAAACATATATTAGAAAATGTATTGCTCTTGATTCATACATTTCATGAAAATATTTTTATTGAGTACAAATAGAAACAAGAAGTGGTATAATGTCTTAACTAAAGCTTCTAGAAAGAGTGATAACTACAAATCTCAGAATTGTAGTCTGTTCAATAGAAGTTTTCTATAGGGAACTACAGACAGGAATGAAAGAATATTATGTGGGTGAATCTTTCCAGCTTTGGGATGCAACTGCCAGGAAATTGGCAGTGGGCATATCTAAATAGCACCTTTCCCTAATTAATATCAGAGAAAAATACATAGTCATGGATTGATGGGGCAGATTCTGTTCTATAAAGGATGCTTATGAAGACTCTGGCATCTAAGAGCCACCTGCTGGTTAAGGGAAATCCTGCAAGCTAATGCAGATACTTTGCTTGTCCATGCAAATAGAATCCTTTTTCTGAGATTGATGTAATTCCTGGATAACTGTAAGTTTTATCCTGTCTTGTTTAACTATGGCCCTGATAGTTCATTCCCAAGGTACTATTTGATTTACTTATAAGGCAGTTGTTTTACTTACATGTATTCTATGGCAGAAGCTAATTCAGAATTTCTACAGGTGATAAAAGAGTTTTTAAATCAACTTTGAAAACAGGAGAAAATATACATTTTTAAAAACAATATTCCCACTTTCTTTAAGACACTTTTGTTGTGCAGAATTCTTTTTGGTAGAATTGTGGGTGAACTGCAATGGCGGGAAGGAACTAATTCCATGGTATGCCGGTGCCAGCCTCAACCTTTAGAAAAACACTTTCCTGAGAGTAAATATATGCTTTACAATAGCTGTAAGAAAGTATTTTTCATAGGTAGAATAATAGTAAATATACTGAGCGCCTAATAGTGTTTATAAAACAGTTTACCCTAATTTTCTCAAATTAAAAATGTCTTTCTTATTAAAAAGCAGGCTACCTTTTTTTTTTTTTTTAGTTGTAAATGGACACAATACCTTTATTTTACTTACTTATTTTTATGTGGTGCTGTGGATCAAGCCTAGTGCCTCACACATGCCAGGCAAGCACTCTACCACTGAGCCACGACTCCAGCCCTGAGCAGGCTACTTTAAAGAATGCTTTGTATGTGCTGTTGTCTTATTTAATTGGGTTAGAGGAGAAATTTAAGTGATACCAATTATTTTCTTGGTTTCCCATATTCTGTCCTATGCTGGTTTATCAGGTCTATATCTGAATCAGTATAATGTTAAAATTGAGCTCAGCATTCAACCACTTGGTCCAAATCTTGCCATAGCCACCAACTTTCCCTTCCCTTCCCTTTGCCTCTGTGTCTTCATCTGTAAGATCACACTGCTGATGCTCTCAGCCTAGAGGGTGGCTTTGAAGCTGAAAGTTCCTAGAACAGAACTTGTTAACATACTAACATTCTGCAAATGCCCACCATCACCATTGTCCTTGGCTGTGCTACCTGGAGTTCTGCAGAGATCATGTTTGACTTTGATAAAGCAACTTCAATTCCTGTGTTTTCTTCTCTTATTTTTAAATCTTCAATGTGTGTGTGTCCTCTTCCTTGCCTTGAAAGGATGCCCTATCCTTTTTATTATTATTATTATTTTAACTCCTATAAGATCTCCAATTTCAGTGAAGGGCATCTCAGCACATTAAGGTCACCCGTGACAAATGGTCTCTTATTACCTGCTGATTACAGTTAACCCTCATTTCCTCCATCGCAGCCATGCGGCGCCTTCTATTTAAATAGAGCTGTTTCTGGATGTGACTTTTCGAGCCTCTCTGGGTTTAATTCTAATTTAACGTGCCATTCCAAGCGGGACTGTTGTGCAGCTGAAGTCCTGATTCACTCATTTGTTCTCTCTAGATCTAATTATTGCAGTGTGGAGCCCATGAGGCCACCCCCAGCACTCCTTTGCTGCTCTAAATGAGCTAGTCTTTGGGGGAGTGGACCTCTAGTTAATGTTCTTCTGAACTGTATAGATATTTTTGGCACAAAGTTTGGGAACACAGGGACAACTATTTTACCTCAACCATTTTGATCATACCAAGATTGGCACTGAAGATTAGTGGAAGGATCTTACACTGGCATATGCAATAGTTACTTGCACACTTCCACTCTGTAGAACAAGTTCAGTTTTTGAAGCGCAGAAGACATGTTGCAGAAGACACTCAGGTGCCTTCTAAAGAGAGATCACAGTGCTCAGGAAGCACAGAGTAGAAACAACCCATAGTGCCCACTATCTAATCAGACTTATTTTTCGTCAAAGGATAGTAGTATTGATTCATTAAGCAGATAAGTATTAATTATTCATTCTATGTAGCAAGCATTTCTTGAATGCCCACGTTCATTGGCTCTAGAGATACAAAATTACTTGGTAGCAGTATCTTGACTGTCATGACACTGGACTTGGCTCAGCCAAACCCCTGTGGTCCCTGTTAACTGTGGAATTCTACTGTGGACCTCAGGACAATAGCAGTCTTCCTGGTTGGGATTGCCCACTCATCTTCTTGGGTTTTTCAAGGTCTTTGACTTCACCTTTGGTTCCCTTTTTCCTCATTCCCACTTACCTTATCGCTTTTCCACAAAGAGATCAAGTAAGTAGTTCTGAAAGGTAAAGTAGAGACAAATGTCTCTCCAGAACTGTTTGAGGCCCAGGTAGAACATCATTTGTATTTGAAGTTCCAAATACAAAACTTTGGTGGCCTCAGTTTTTATTTGCAGAAGGGAAAATCTACATGGAAAATATAAAAGGCACGTGTATAGGAGACATTAAAAAAAAAAAAAAAAGGTATCAGAGCAGTGTAACAGGATAATGTTAGAAACAGTCTACGTGGCCATCAGTCAGAAAATTGGATATGTTAACTCTGGGATGAGTTTTTAATTGGACTGCTACCATATGTCATAAAGTCAGTAGTTAGCAAATTAGGACCCAAATACAGCCCATTGTTTTTGTACATAAAGTTTTATTGGAACCATGTTTCTTTGTTTACAGTGTCTATAGCTGCTTTCATGATACAGTTTCAAAGATGATTAGTTACAGCGTAAGACCTTTTGGTTCTTAAAGTTGAAATAAAGTATTTATTTACTATTTAGCTCTTTATAAAAGAAAAAGTTTTGCAACTTTTGACCTAAGTTGAAATATCATCTATTGAAAAAAACAATTACTTTATGTACCATTAATAAAGAAAAATTATACCCGTTAAACCTTAACAAGCCATCAGTTCCAAGGAACATTCTAATTTCAGAACTTTAAGTTAAAATATTTTTTGAAAAGGAGATTCAATAAGTTGTAGTCGATAGCACTTCTGATAAATGAACTACAGCCTTTGTACCTACCTGTATAAATCTCAGATGTTTAATATTGATTGAAAAACAGGGCAAGAACAGAAAAAAGTAGCAGAATGATGTGAACAGCATGACATTTATGTGACTCTTACAAAACCACAGCAATATTATGAATTTCTATGAATGCAGATGTAGATAGGTAACATCATTTAAAAGAATTGGAAAGATGTAAAGAAAACTGATGATAGAGCTTTTCCCTGGGAGAAGAAGAAAGGATCAGGGATGGTGAAAGACAAGGGAGAGAGCTCTTCATTTGTGATTTTTTTAATACTAATTTTTCAAAGCATCAAAACATGGGAAAGCTGAAAGAAAATATGTCAGAATAAATTGTTATGGCAGAATTATGGGTGATTGCTTTTTTATCATATTTCACTGTAATTTAAAGGCACTTCACGGGTAACTGAAAAAGATGAGTCATATTCTTTATTTCTCTCTCCATCAAAAGAGATTAAGGTTTTAAAAAGGTACATGTTAATCAATTATCTGACATTACAAACTAATCCTGTTTTTCTAGTGGGGCATTAAGATTAAACAACACGCAAGTCAGGGCCAAACTTCATAGTTAAAACTTTTTGTTCGTAATAGTAGTACAGCTAATCTTTAAATACATACAGTGCACTTTATTCCTCACCATGCAAAAGCACCAACTAGAAAAGTTAAATGGCAGTGCACTTTACTGCTCAGAAATAGCTTGTCATGAGTCACGTTATTGGTGTACTGATGTCATTTCTTTCAGCCTGACCTCACTTGTTTTGAAAGGTGCATTGTGATTTTACATGGTGTTATATGTGGTCACACGCAGCTCAGACCTGCTGTTACTTATTAAATGCATTCATCTTGTCAATTGTCTATAGCAGGGCTTCCTAAAATATTCCTTAGAAAGGGTATTCAGAAGTTCAGAGCTGTGAGTGTTAATCTACCACCACCAGATGGTTCCTTCTGATAAGAGGAGATTACTCTCCTCCCAATGCTTCACTAGGTTTTAGTTTGTTGTTGGTATTGTTTTAAGTGTGTCTTTCTCTTCCTGGGAGTGTTCTGCCAGAAATCAGTTCCAGTGCTTGCCTTTGGGGATTAGAAAACAAGACACAAGACACATCCAAGACAGTGGTGGCAGGGAGCCTGTGAGACTGTGGAGTCTGAGACCAGTTCTCAGGCCACCAGACCCAAGACGGAGTGCAGTGCTTCTCACCATGTAACACCCCTTTTTCTTTTTCCAGTTCAATTTCACCATTTAGTATTGAGAGCACAAGACGCCAGAGACGGTCCGAATCCCCAGACTCCAGGAAACGACGTATCCACAGATGTGATTTTGAGGGATGCAACAAAGTGTACACAAAAAGTTCTCACCTGAAGGCTCACCGGAGGACACATACAGGTACAGCGCCCAGGGCTTCCCTTGTGAGGACCAATTGCTCCACGACAGGGCACAGTGTGCTGCCATGGCATTTTGTACTTGCCCCTTATATGTAACACCTTGAATTTACTTCATTTCTTCTGGCCAGAATGCAATCTCTCTGTCATAATTTAAAAAAAAAAAGTGTCAGGCTCAGTACATTTTAGAAACCAATGAGAGATTTCTTCCATTTCTCAAGGGCTTTTAAAATGGTGTGAACATAGTAATCTAGCCATCTTTCTTATAAGCAACACCACCACTTAATCAGCATGTAGTTTATCAGGTTTAACAATGTCCCTGTGGCACATCAAACAACAAGCTGAGCAAAATTATTGTCTTTTCAAGCTGGCCTCTTACCCACCTCCACCCTTTGATCGTGTTTTCCTACTTTTTTTTTTTTTTAAATCCTTTTCCTTCAAATAGCAAACAAAATGAAAAATGAGAATGTAATAGACATAGGTCTATGGGGAGTTTTAAAAACATGTCCACATAATTCTATTTGATTCTCACTGGTATCTTTTTATTTCAGGAGAAGATTTTTAGTATTCACAGATTATAGAGAATAAATTGAGATCACAAGTGATTGACAGACTTTGCCCATCCTCCTCTTGCTCACCCACCCACCTGACAAGGAAATGAGCTGATGAGTCTTCACTTAGACCCCTACCAACCCATGTTCTGCCTTGGGTACCCCTCAGCCAGCATCCTCTGGCTTCCTGGGCTTGTGGGTCCCCCAGGATTCCCCAGTGGGTGGGTGGGGGCACTGGCAAGAGACTAGAGGAAGGCCTGCAGACACACCATCCGTCCAAGGAAAAGTGGTGACTGGAGTGTGTGATGCTTAAAGGAGCAGAAGGAACAGGGAAATGCATGCATACACTTTTTTAATAAACAAGCAGGCCCAGTCCAGTTCCTGTCCTCATCAGCAGTCAGACCTCAGCATCTGCCTCTAACTGGAAACTTGAAGTGCGACAGATTCCGGTGTGGCTGTGTAAATAGTTCTCATCTCAAACAGTAAAGTAACCATGTGATGTCAATCATTCCCCAGCACAGGTAGCAAAATACTGTAAATGGGCCTTATTGGCCTTGACTTAGCTCTGTCCTTCCAGAGCTGCACTGAAGGGTCATCACTCCAAACCTTGAGCTGGGCACCATTGTCTGCAGTGAAGTTATGGCACAGGAGGCTGCCCGAAGTCCAGAGAGCATCAAAGAATCTGGAGTTTCCTTCTGTTCAACTAACACTTTATATACTTTTGACATTTCTCAGTGACAGCTAACAGAGCACATTGCTCAAATTGCCTCTTCCCACATTTCCTCTTTGCTTCCCGAGCCTTTTCGGCTTCTACTTCCTTCTAGATTCTTCCCTCTCCTGTTGATTCTGGGTTTCCCCAGGAGAGTCGTTCATGTGTTTCTTCAGTACTGTTTTTAAATCAATTTCTTTATCATGGAGGCAAAGAATGAATTTAAAGACTTTGAAGTCAAATAAGCTGATTCTCTCCCATCAGTAAATGGTGAACACACATCGTAGCAGAAAGGGTGATCAGACCATACTACTCACTTTTTATGGGGTCATTTCTGTGTTTTGTTTTGTTTTGTTTTGTTTATGTTCTGTTCTCAGTGAATCATCATATACTTTGAGTTATTCTCCGTGTGCTTTCTGGAATATATATGAACTTCATCTTCACACAGACACCTCTATTCCACTTTATCCAAGTGATGAATGGTGAAAGAGGAAGATTTCTAATCTGGTACTATTAAATGATTTAACTCTGTGGCATTATAGGAGTACATCTTACAGGTTTTAAAATATACTGTAAGAGTAGAGGACACATCATATATGCACCATAATTCAAAGCAACATCAACCTTGAATGCTGAACTTGAGTTAACTAGCTTGGCTTATTAATGGGATGAAGTCATAGATGTGGAGAGTCACGATGGACTTCGTATGTCACAGTCCAGCGTGTTTCCTAATTAGGGGAATCCCTTGCCTGTCATCTCTCAGACAGAGCCCGTCGCTGCCAGGCGGTTTTCTGAACACTGACATGTATTTTCTCTTATTTGATCCTCACAGCAACCTGGTGTTCCAGCTGCTTGGATCTCTTTTGCACAAGTGTAGCTCTCGCTTAAGCATTTTTTCTCACTACTTATTTTTCCACCTCCCATCATATACTTCAAGTGACAACTTAGTCTGCAGGACAAGTTGGGTGAAATTTAAGGGTAGAGTCCCCGTCTCTGAGAGCATGGAACTATCTCACATAGCACTATTTGGGTCTCAGAACCTTCTGTGGGGATGGGATGCCTCGGATGATCGCACTGTAACCCAGCTTGCTGGCCCTGGCTTTCATGAACACTGCAGTGGACCACTGCCATCTCCATTTCCCCAAGCCACCCCCACCCCCACCCCCAGTTCTCTCAGCCATGCTTTCAAGCGGTACTCTGACTTTACCACTGTGTCTCTGAAAGTTTTCATACCACACATTGAGGGAACTGATCCTGTTTATGGATTTTCTCTTAATATATTCAAAAGTAAGGTGAAGTCTTTAAGCAGTAGACACTGCCTATAAGCGACCCAAATCAACTACTGCTGCCAACTAGGTCTAGTTTATCCCTTGTACCTATAAATGATTTCTTTGAGACCTAAACAGGCACTGTTGTACTATAGTTGGAGCTTACCCTCCAATGATGGGTTCTCTTGGAGCAGTGTGTTCCATATCTTTCAAAGTGATTAGCACCAGCTAGAGATACGGAACAGACTCGTTGTGAGGGTGACAAGCACCTTTTCCATTCTGGGAAATAATTATTCTATACCCATTGTACTGAGTTGGTCACTTTATTCTGATAAATTGAAATAATTCGAAACCTCTCCCTCCCTTTTTGCTTTTAGTACTTCTGCACTTCTTTTAGTACTTCAGTTTCTCCATCTTTGCAAGTTAAAGGATGGATGTATTGAATAGGACAGGTTCAAGGAAAAGCCCTGAGACATGATCCTAGAGACCCTATCCAGGTGTGTCTAAATCTTTTAACTGACAGCTAATTATCCTATTTCCAGCCCACATTTCTCTATCTCACAGCTACATCAAAATGTCCTTGTGAAGTTCCTGACCAAAACCAAGATGTACCAAATCCACTTATCTATTTAACAGAGAGATAAGTTATAGTCAGCCCTTTGGATCTGAGGCTTCCACCTCTGCAGATTCAACTAACATTGGATCAAAGATATTTGGGAATAAAAGTCCCATCTGTTTGAACATATACAGTCTTCTTTCCTTGTCATTGTTCCCTAAGACATACAATATAACATCTATTAATGTAGCATTTACACCTTGTTAGGTTTTACATGTAATCTAGAGATGATTTAAATTATACAGTAAGATGTGTGTACGTTATATGTAAATATGACAACATCTTGTATACGGACCTTGAGCATCTGTGAGCTTTGATATGTACTTGGGGTCAGGGATTCCAGGAATCCAGTCCCCCTCAGATTCTAAGGAACAACTGTATTCTATGCAGGTGTGGTCTCCTGAACTATCAGTCTAGTAACATTTTTAAATAGAAAGAATGAAATTTTGTTAATTTGTTGTAACTGGCTCAAAGTGAGCATGTGCTGGCTTCTAATTTATAATTGTATGCATGATTTCGTAACTTAGTGTTCAAAATGTAGTCAACACTGGTTCTACAGAAATTCAGGTTGGATTGCATGCCTTTAATGCACATCTTCTCAGCCTTACCTTTGCTTCAGGCGGATTGAGTAAGTTACTTGTGTATGACCAATAATAATTCACGTGGAGCTTGGGATTATACCAGATGATTTTCGAAAGCCACGCACGCTATCGGAGAGGAGCAAATGGCAATGGGAAACTTTCTCTGAGGCAGTCGCATTAATTTTTGCCTCTAACACTTGATCCCACTGTGCTTTAAGAGGACCTGGTCTGTTATCTGTTTATTTTGGTCTTAGGAATTTAATTGGTATAAATGTTAAAGAGGAACCATTTTCTAGGTATTAGCAAGGAAATTTAGGGGGGAAAAGGAAATGCCAAGGAGAGCCTATTTAAATATAAGAATAATCAAATATATTTTGTTAATGTGCAGTTTAGATAATAACATAAAGATGTGACCAAGGAGTTTGAAATGCCTTTAATGTACTAACACCTGCGAATGCTAAATTGTTTAAGGCATGTTAGAAATTCATCAGTCATATCACATTAATGTCAGCAGGTTCATTGTTCATATACTGTCTTCTACACAACATAGTGTATGCTACGCTTAAGTGAGAATGTGTAGTTTATTTAAATCAAAAGGTGTTTAAAGCTATGCTATCCATTACTATGTCCTATGGGTTTTCCTTATTTTAAACTGGGTTCAATCCTCAGCACCACATAAATATAAAATATATTGTTTCCACCTATAACCAAAAAAAAAAAGAATTGTGTAGCATATTAAATGATGTGTATTTGCATTTTAGAGGACAATTTAGGTATTTCTAATAATTAAAAGAAAATAGAATTCTCACTATTTTCTGAAAAATAAGTGCCCTGGAATTTTAAAATACACTACAAGCAAATAATACTCACACGTCGGTTATGCTTCAGCCACTAGATGGAGCCCTAGACCCGAATGTTGGGTCTGCTCTAGAAGAGGCTCTGAAAAGCAGAAACTAGAACTCTCTGGTGGTATGTATGACATGGCATTAAAATGAAACGTGACTGTCAGTGTTCTGCAGAATATTGAATTTAATGACTAACAAAAAAGGGCAAAATTTAACTTAAAAGCAAATTTTCTTCCAAAAAAGTTAAGAGCAACATTTCCATTTCAAATGAATCTGGAAATATTTTATATTACAAATCTATCTCCTGCCCCCTAATAAATCTATGAGATTCAATAGTCAATCTTGTTAATACTAATTTTAATTCATTTGAAAACTGCACACATCTAAATCTTAAACATTAATGAACTTAAGCAGTCACATCTCTTATGTGTCTG